AAAAAATATTATTATGTCTTTATCCCGTGGGACTTTTAGGATAAAATGTATCCTATGACACTCCCGTAATCAAGACAAATCTAACGATACCTCATACATCAAAATCCATCAAGCCGTTTAGGCTACAGGTGGTCACAAAGGAAAAGACATACATACATACTTACATACACTCGAAAAACATTACCCTCCTTCTTTGGCAGTCGGGTAAAAATCGCGGGTTACTCACGTGAATATACTGAAAAAACGAGCATGCAAGGCGATGTTGAGTAGGCTGCGCGACATCACCGCGACCGCGCACGCTACTCATGAGGAAGAACCCCTCCGTGGTTCGAAACTAGTAGAGCTTTTCTCAGTTAATTTGGCTTTTTTTATATATTTTTTTTTCAGAGCAAGAGCGATAGAAAATCAATGCTACGTTATAGCAGCAGCCCAAACAGGGGCTCATAATGCGAAACGAAAGTCCTATGGTCATGCAATCTGTATAGACCCGTGGGGCGAAGTCCTAGCTGACTGCGGGACCGAATCCCCGACGTTTAAAGTGGTTGAGATCAACCAGGAGAAGTTGCAAGAGGTTAGAAGGAATATGCCTGTATTCCAGCATAGGAGGTATATAGCACTTTTTTGTTTACAAACTTTGTAATAGGGTAGATGCCTAATTTTTATTTTAATGTCCGTCTGGTAGATTATTTAAAATCATCAGACACGTATTTTTTATTTTCTTACAGAAACGAATACTTTCGACGATATATTGATATGAAATGTCGCGTGACGTCACTTCTATGTACATTTTATACGTAGAAATGACGTTTTAGCCCCCACTCCTAAACTTTGATTCGTTTTATCTAAGTATTGTTTTATAATACGACAAAATAAAAAAAAATATGTGTCTAATATTTTTTCATTACCTAACTTACGGACTAATTATATTTTTAATTTTCTTATCCTGTCATCATCCCAATTAAAATAATGAATATGACAAAAAATTTATTTTTTGGTGCAGTCGTTCAAGTGTGTAAAAGTGTAGCTACCAGACATGCGGTTTCCATCTTTTATTTGTATTATAAATCGCCTGCTGCACAAGTTATCGCGAGTTCGTTTCTCATACCGAATATGTTTTTGTGTGATCCTTAAAATTGTGGTTTGGCTTAGCCAAAACGGCTGGATCAGAAATCGAATCAAATTAAAAATCTCAGTATAGAATAACACTCACAGTTTTTTTTATTCCAGTAAAATGTCTGTATGTTGTGTTAAAACAGTTATCAAAACAAAAAAAAAAAAAACTAATTCTCTAACATCTTGAATAAATATTAGTAAACTTTCACATTTTTTCGACTGCCTCATTGGCCGAGTAGTCGCAAGTGCGACTGCCGGGCAAGGGGTTTCGGGTTCGATTCCCGAGTCGGGCAAATTATTACTGGGTTTGTACAAAATTCGCAGTGGTAACACGGAGTCTGGAATTGTACCCGGTATATAGCAATAGGCTCACCCCCTATTACATGGAACTCATAACATAAATAGAGAAAAGTGGGTGTTACTTCTGTGTGCACCTCTGCCTACCCCTTCGGGGATAAAAGGCGTGATGTTATGTATGTTTCACATTTTTTCAGGTTTTTTCATTAATATCAACGTCTTTTATCTCTCTTTTTCAGACCAAAAGTATACTCCCTATACTCGTTAAGTCTCCGTAAGGACCTCCTCCCCGCTCACTGCCCAGCCCCTCCCCCCTCGACGTCTTCATCACCACAAATTGCGGCACTACCTGACGAACCATGTTATGACTTCGGACATGTGAAAGTCCCTGAAAGTTGTGTATTCTTTAAGTCTAAGCTGACTTATGCATTTGTTAATTTGAGGTGAGTACAATTTAAAACATTTAACGTGTGGGAGAGCCATGCTTCGGCACGAATGGGCCGGCTCGACCGGAGTGATACCACGACCGAACAGAAAACCGACGTGAAACAACGTTGTGTTGTGTTTTATCGTGTGAGTGAGGTTACAGGAGGAGGAGATTTTCATTTAAAAAAAACTTACGTAATCTTTTTTTTATGATATAAGCCGGTAAACGAGTAGACGGATCACCTGATGGTAAGCAATCGGCGCCGCTCATGGACACCTGGAACACCACAGTTACAAGTGCGTTACCGGCTTTTTGGGATTATGAATTTGAGGATTGTTGGGATTTCATGGATTGGGGAAAGGGGGGGGGGTAATTGAGTTTCCGGTAACCTCACTCGCACGACGAAACACAACGCAAGCGTTGTTTCATGTCAGTGAGACCGTGGTATCACTCCGGTCGAACCGGCCCATTTGTTCCGAAGCATGGCTCTGCTGGTTTACTGGCTTATTCCATAAAAAAAGAAAGAAAGATAGAAAGAAAAACCATTTATTTTACTACGACACACAATAAGAATTTAGGAACACAGAAAAAAGCCCATGGTGCGTCGCAGCGCAAAAGGCTGGAGCTCAGCTTAATACCGTGGACCGGCCACAGAGGCTCGAGCCCACGGCGCTGATTTTCAGCACCAGCCCGTTATAGTACGTACTAGTTATACACCTACGGTAACGCTGAAACAAAGCATGATATAAATAATAAAATTAATATAAAAGTGAAAACAAAATCAATAGGAACGATTACTGCCAAAAATCTAAATAAATATGTAGATACAAAATAAATAATAACAAGAATAAAATTACATTATACATATAAAAAAATTGCATTTTACTTCTCGAAGCCCTACACTTTTTTATGCAAAGCCATGTTTCACCAATTATCCACTTTGAACAACTGTAGGGATTATTATTCATTCCTTCTCCGTGTGAGAAGAGCCCTTTATCTATCAGTGGGCACTTATGCATAAGCCATGTTGATGATAAATATAATTTAACATATGTTCTTAGATGTGTGCTCCCCGGCCATGTCTTAGTGGCTCCCATCAGAATGGCTGAGAGGAACTGCGATATGACGGAGGAGGAGGCACAGGACTTCTACAAGACTATTCGGATTGTCCAGCGGGTGAGTCCATTTGTATGTTTTTTTTATGGCATAAGCCGGTAAACGAGCAGACGGATCACCTGATGGTAAGCAATCGGCGCCGCCCATGGACACCTGGAACACCAGAGGCGTTACAAGTGCGTTACCGGCCTTTTGGGGATTAGGAGTTTGAGGATCGTTGGGGATTCAGGAATTGGGGAGA